GCCGCGGACACAAAATGTCCCGTTTTTACCCCAAAAAAACCTCCCGGAGTCCCCAAATCCTCCCTTTCCGCTCCCAGATACCCCCTGGATTCTGCAGAGGCCTCAAGCCCCCCATTTCTGGCCCGAAAGGCCACCCAAATCCCTTTTTCTTGCCCCAAATTGCCTCCAAGGGCCCCCCCAGACCCCCCAAATCTCAATTTTCTGACCCAAAACACTTGCAAACCACCCCCCCGCCTCCCAAACAGCTGCAAACCACCCCCCCGCCTCCCAAATCTCCCACTTCTGCCTCAGAACAAGGCCAGGATTCCCCAGATTCCCATTTCCTGCCCCAAAACACCTTCCAGGACCCCTTGGATCCCCCAAATTCCTCTTTCTTGCCCCCGAAACAGCTCCAAGGACGTCCCAGATTCCCCAAATCCCGATTTTCTGACCCCAAACACCTCCTAGACTTTCCAGATTCCCCAAATCCCCATTTTCTGACCCCAAACACCCCACAGACTTCCCAGATTCCCCAAATCCCCAATTTCTGACCCCAAACCCTCCTCGCGGTTCCCCAGATCCCTCCTTCCTGCCCCTGGGGACCCCTCAGGCTCCTCGAATTCCCATTTCTTGTCCCAAAACGCCTCTGCAGATCCCGGAGACCCCCCAAATCCTTCATTTTGGACCCAAAGCACAGCCAGAACTCCCCAAAACCTCAATTCCTGCCCCCAAATACCTCCAAGGATCCTCCAGACCCCCAAATCCCCGTTTTCTGACTCAAAATACTCCCCACAGCCTCCAAATTTCTCATTTTATCCCAAAGCAGCCCCGGACTCCCCAGATCCCTTTTCCTCTCCCCAAAACGCGTCCGAGGACCCCCAGCCTCCCGCAATCCCATTTTTCTGCCCCAAAACATCCCCCTAACCGCCCTCTATTCCATTTGGCCCCTTCGGGGACTCTTTTTGAGCTGCCTTTTGTGTTTTTTGGGTTGTTTTTGGCCATTTTCGGGGTCCCCCCAAGTGCGGGCACTTCCGCCCGGCCCCGCGCGGCGTCGCGGGCGCCTCTGCGCGTGCGCGGAGTTCCTGGGCGTGTGGGGGGAGCTACGCGGTGACGTCATTCCGCTTCCGAGCCCCCGCGTGGAGCAGCGGCGGGATGAGGCCAGGTGGGACCTGGGGGGGGAAATGGGGAAAATTGGGGGGAAATGGGGAAAATTGGGGGGAAA